GAATGTGTTTCACTCCCACAGGGAAAGTTTTTAGCGAGAGCGGGAAACATATGGGGCACCAAATCATGTATGACCCATGTGGGAGTATGAGAATCACACCTCGGCGTTCAGAAAATTGAAGCTGGATTGTAAACTGGAAGGACTATCGAGGTATGGGGATATGTAGGAAATAGGCGCCAGAAACTAAAAGGAGTAAAGTTTATTGGCAACTATTTACGTCTATTCTCTCAACATGCATCCGGTTCGCAGCCTGATTTTTGGTTGTATTCAAGTGCGGGTGTATCCCGTTCAATGTTTTAATGGGGCCAGCTGATAAATTGAATTTCATCCAGGAGGTTTTTAACCTCCTGGATGAACCTGGAACCAATTAGCTGACGCCTCAGAGATGGAACATTTAGTTGGGCAGTGCTGGTATTATACTGAAACTCGATCCCTCAACCATACACTTGCTGCTCCATTACTGGTTCTGCTTGTTATAGAACTCATTTTCATCTAGCCTTCTTACTTTGAGCGGATTTAGAACAGGGGCAAAAGGGCCCTTTTCCGATGCCCTGTTTGGTGCCAAAGAGAGACACTACTGCTCTTTTTATCTTTTCTTTGAGTATCAAAAACGTGACAGAGCAGAAGATGCAAATCATTTAACCCTTCCTACCCGTAACCCATGAAAGACCAGTTTGTTGTTTTCCGTTAAGAGATTGTTTACTAAAAACTCCTCATTGAACTCATTATAAGTCAGTCTGAACTATAAAAGCTGTTTGAACATTGAGTATGGTCATTCTTAGCTATACTGAGTTAGCAGGATGTCTGCTATACTTGTCATTGCCATTATAATTTGCATAGTACTGCTACTCTTTCTTCATAAACAGGTAATGAACAGCATCCATTACTTCAGTCGCAATCTATTTTTGTCTTTTTAGTTCAAAAGAGAAGATGCGCTGGCAGCTGCACCCCCTTCGCCGAAGCCGCAAGAGGTAAATGGTTGCTCTTCGAGGGAGCTTCACGAGCTGAACTATGCTGATCAAGTACAGCATGCCTGCTATACTTGTCATTGCCATTACATTTTGCATAGTGCGGCTACTTCTTATTCATAGTTAAGTACAGAAGGCCTCCGGTGCTCTACTCGGTCTTCATTTTTTGCCTTTTACAGTTCAAAAGAGAGGAGGCTCCACCTGCGATTCCTTCACCGACGCCTAAAGAGGTAAGTAGTTAGTTTTTGAGGGAACTCTGGAAGCAGAACTATAATGAATCTATAGGAGCTGCTCAAAGTCGCCCGCGATCCGAATATCGGTGGCACGGGACCTAGGCCATAGTTTGCGAGTAGCACGGGTGGCGTAAGCGTTGCTAGGTCAGTCAGTTGCTTGCGATGCATGAACTTACGGAAGGCTGGTCAAGGCAGTATCATTACAGCAGTAAGTGCAGTGTAAGTATCCGCTGGCGATTGCCGCATAACTGTGCTGTTCCCTGTGCGTGGTAGGTTTGGGCTTCAGTCGCTAAACACTCGTAAAATAAACCGCCCCCTTAGAGGAAGCCACGTTCCCGGAAATATCCTACTCGGGGTAACAGTAAGATTTTACTAGAGGCTACCGACCATGGGAAGGCCGGCAACAGGACAGAACTACTTGTGGGTCGTATGCTTGAGAAACCATGATACAGTAAAACCGAGAATGCACTTTGTAAACGCTGTCTAATCAAGTGCACCACCCTCGAGTTGGATTTCACTGCTGATTATGATAAGGGAGATAAAGTCAGAGCAAGATACAATCAATGGGTGTTGTTCCGCTACCTTTCTAAGGCTCCCATAAGTGAAAGGAAATCCAAAGGTAGACGACCTTAAGAGCGAAAGCTTAAACCGCACAAGGAACATTGGCAAGCTCCTCATAAGCCTTGAGCAGAGCAACCGTTCATTAGTTGAACTTAACCAAAAGAGGTTCACTGTAACGATGTAGTGACTAGTGAAGAGGCATAGCTGGGCTTTAATCATTATCATCTCCAGTTCTTATTAGCACCATCGCCCGTTCATTCCTCTTCTTGCTCACAACCTACCTTTTTTACTTCACGAGGGGTGTGGTGCAGTAGGAACGAAATCGTCGTGTCGCGGCGAGTGTGACATATAGCAGAGTGCAGCGGCAAGTAAGAAATACAGGAACAGAAGAAGTAACAGTAGAATCATGCCAAAAGTAATAATTGTATAGCGATTGAGCTGTATGAAGAACGCTAAAACCGTTATAATGAGGCAAATGGTCCGCGACAGCAGCTGCGGCGGATCGATTACACAAGACCGTTCTTACTGCCCGTCTATCCAAATGTTTTATGAATGGCGGCCAAAATTGTCCCTCGTCACGAGTTGGCGTGTAGCGTACCTATGGTCAAGGTAATGAGGTTGGGCGTCAAGCAGCTTATGACTAAATTGTCCGATTTGTTATCATCTTAATAGCACAGTAGAAGGAAAGGTTATGGATGGATATCCCTCACCACTTTTGGTCCGCGTTATTGGCGCTGTTCTGCAGCCTAGATTGGGAGGTTTTGTCCTGCAAGACATTTCAGGAAAGCCGAGCTTCAACGGTTATCGCGACAATATGAATAATTTGATGAGCTTTTGTGATGATCAGAGAACTCCCAGGTTATGATAACAAAGCCTCAGTACCTAATCTGAAGATCCAGATGACTGCTTAGTCTTTCCGATGTCATTTAGCTACATTCGCGAAAAGTCGGGATTTGTTCGGAGAGAGTTTTTAACGAGAAATTTCAGGATGTTCAAAAACCATCGGAACCAGTGGCTCCACCGGAACCGATGAAGGTATTTTGTGAATGAGCAATTCTTTTTTGTAATTGCTGGCTCATTTGATTGAAATACTATTTCTAGCCATCCGAAGACGTGATAACAGCCAGAGAACTTAAGGACGAGGTATTGTTATTTCGTACAAAAATAGAAAAAAGTCCTGTTCGATGTGAGCACGTGAGTCACCAAAGCTGGACGCAAAAGCTGGGAGCAGGTCCCGAATTCCTTATGTAGTTTTTGTTGGTCGGCCTTTGATAGGAACAAGTAATAGGTGAAAAAGGTTGTCTATGACAGTGATCTGCGCTTCTTTCCGTTGTGCCATGCATACGACTTCGGTAGGAAAGGTGAAGCTATGTCCCACCACCTTCTCGTTCCATACAATAACTTGCTAGCACCACTTATTCCTCATTTTGTGAAGTAAGTACTGTATCTCATAGTTCTTTCCTAAAAATGGCAATGTAGTGGTTGACGTTGAAGTGGTCTACGGGTCACTCAAATTACTTTTTTTTNTTTTTTTTGCAGCCAACATCAGGAGTAAAAACTGCCCAACATCTTAATGACGAGGTAATATTTTCTTAAATTATTGCTCACCTACTCTATACCTTGCTATCACTACGATTATTTGTTGCTGCTTCGAAACAAGGCTGACTAAATGCGCAGGGCGGGGCTAAAAATTTCACTTTATAGAGCATTTTGGACTGTTCGCTAAACTTCACGGTTTGATTAGGAACAATTCCAGTTTCTTTGTTGAGGAGACATTTGAAATTATTACTAATGTTCCCTTTTCTAGATTTTCTAATGGTTCTCAATTTTTTCTCGAATTTTCGTCTTCTTTTTGCTTTTTTTCCGAATGGTCTGTTCGAGTTGTTCATTCTATTTACAGCCTACCAGTGGAGTTGTGACAGCTAGGGAAGTTAAAGATGAGGTTTGTCCCCCTAAATTTTATAATTTTGGCGTTAATCAATCCCGTCTCCCTTCTAAGGGATGCGCCCTTCATTCGAGTTTCATTCAGAAACTCAGTGGCGTGTTGAATGCGTATGTGGCGTATACATACAATGGCCTGCCGATGTACAAGTCAGGGTTTTCCTCCTTGCAGAAGAATCTGATACCAGTTACTCGACCCCGAAGGTGTGGAAGGCTTAGTTGGCCTAGAGGTATATCGATCCGGGATTCGATCCTGTGACTTTGCGTGTGTGATAGCGCCACTAGCCACTGCATCACCTACTTCTTTAACCATTTTAAAACTGAAAATTTATAAAGCTCTCTCAATAAACGCCTGCTTGTCGAAAGGAATGTTGGGTAAATCACTTAGTCTTGATACATTGCCTTCTAACTCTGTGTTTAGCCTACATCTGGAGTTGTGACAGCCAGAGAAGTTAAAGACGAGGTAAGTATCCGAAATTGGTCGATTTAATCCGTAAACTTTCATTTTCTTATAAATTAGTGTTGAAAATTCATTCATTAACGGAGGCTCAAGCCAAGGATCGACAAGTCTCTACACTTTAACTAATAGTCCTGTATTCAGCCTACCTCTGGAGTTGTGACCGCCACAGGAATTAAAGATGAGGTTAGTTTTGAGAACCCTGCAGTTTAGGAATCCAAGGTGCATTTTCGTTTGTACCATATGACTGCATGCTAATAATTAGCTGATTCGTCGAAGAAGGGATCCGTAGGGCCCATCGGGCCAATACGCGATTTTTTCGCGTGCGACGTGTGGTACATTCGCAAGGCAAGAAACTGAAGAATTGCAAATGTGCGGTTTCCGAATAAATTAGCTAACAAATTAAATAAATAGAAATACGTTTCTATTCCGTTGATCAATTCCTATGTAATCAAAGCATATGCAGAATGAATAAAACAAGTTTTCTGGCTCTGCCTGAGAATTCTATTTTAAACCTACCTCTGGCTTCGACGGCTGTAGGAATAAGAGATGAGGTAGTCTCCGAAATCGGTTTCAGCGTTCAACTAGTGTGATCATCTTCATGAGCAATCCCTTTCTCGCTAATTATAATACAGTCATAGAGGAAAGGCCCTAACCCAGTAATTATTAATTAGGATTAAGTTGTGGTGGACCGGAAAGGTTTTCTTCTTAGATTTTCGACCTTAATTTTTTGCATATTCAAAATTAGTTTAAAAGTGGCAAAAGTATAAAATGTTTTTTCATAATTTCTTCATAAAAGTGAGATTTTTTTGACTGATTTCGTCATATCGATAAAATTTGGGCGATAATCCTTTGGACTGTCTTCCATACACTGAGATTGAAATCTACATAATTGAAAACACTCTGAAATTCTTGAAAAGTTGCTCACCAAGAGAAAGATTAGGTAGATAATTTGCAACCAGTCGGTATGTTTTAACTTATCTTTGAGTATTCAGCCTACCTCTGGAGTTGTGACAGCTGCAGGAATTAAAGATGAGGTCAGTTTCAGAATCGATTCGGTCTTTTGGAATTTGAGCAGTAGCTCTTCGCTATTGCCCATTTCCATATATGGTAGTTCGGAAATTTGTTTTTTTTGCAACCATATCCGTGTGAAGGGCAGAACATGGAGAATAAATAAAGCTGGTTTGAATTCTAGTCTCAGGATTCAGTTTTTAGCCTACTGCTGGCGTTGTGACAGCTGCAGGAATCAAAGACGAGGTTAGTTTTCCGGAACTAATTTTATCACTGGAAAGGTTTGACTACTCGTCTTACGTCGGAGTACCAAGCAGTTGTGTAAATAGAGTTATGCTCTGATTCAGAAATCGTGTCTGGCTGGGCACGGAAAAGGTAATTCAAACGGAAAGCGTTTGAGGTTCCATATGTTTCTATTTCAGCCTACTTCTGGAGTCGTAACAGCTGCGGGAATCAAAGATCAGGTAAGTCTGCAAGCTTTGCCTTCAGGGTTGACTTTGCATACACTGTTCTGCCTCCAAATGGCTAACAGTTTCCATATCCTTACCAGTATATATATATATATTTATATTTACTAATTTATATGGAAAATACTTTCTTGGTCCTAGAGTTAACTTATGATTCTATCTTCAGCCTACTTCTGGGGTCGTGACAGCTGCAGGAATCAAGGACCAGGTCAGTCTTCAAGGATCGCTCTGTAACCTCATGAATTTGGTTTGACATAATGTTCTGCGTTTCCCTTATTTGTGTATGTGTGTATCCTCCTCTGTCTCCATACGTCTCGAACGAGTATAACCCCTCATAGACGATTTTGATCGAATATTAATGGCCAAGAGAAGCATAAAGTAGGCTCGCTGAGGAAGGGTATGCCTTTTGCGCTGGTGAACACGTTTGGTTGAGCAGCAGGCTGAATTGGTTTGTTGTGGCATAGATGGCAACCCGCTTGGCATGAAGGAGAGAGGTGAATTCCAAGGAAGGTGCATCTGCAAATGTCAAGCAGAAGCAATATACAGACAAAACGATGTGTTCAAGCGACAGCAGCCAAGTCTTTTCCTTCCGTTCTGCTCTCCGCATTGGTACTCAGATGATTCCACAACATCTTACGGGAGCCTTACTCGCCCGTTAGACAGCAGTATAATATATAATGGCGTGATCATCATTTACGTATCCGGTAGTAGCCCCAGCAATTGCTCTGGTAGCAGGCGTAACGAGAGTTCGGTTCCTGTAAGTGATTAATGAAACTTCGCTATATCACGTTTCCCCAACCTATGAAGATTGTAGCAACCCTAGCACAAACAGGACCCAAATGTATAAACAGCTTCCAAGTCAGCTTGAACGATGCCTGTTTTGTTATTTTGTAAGTAAGCATCGAAAAGAACAATAATCGCTGCCCAAATAACTCTGTCTNGGATTATTCTTTGTAGTTGAAGAATTCTTAGGGTCAATTTGTTCGTCTGATAACCGAAAATTTATTCACGAAGCACTTTTTCGAGGCAACATTTTGGCGAAACCTTCATGTTCCAAATCTGCCGTCCGTAGTTCCATGAGTCGATCATCTATAGCTAGAATCGTATTTTGACTTTTGCTGTTACGTTTATCCTCCGTTCCCCAAATACCCGCTATCGTCGATGGTTGTCTGGAGACCGAATGGTCGTTACGGATACGATTCTCCCAGAGGAAAGTCCAGAAAGGAGTGATACTAACTGATTAGTCTTTCTTAGCGGTCTCTTATCTTATTTTGTCAAACGAATACCAGTTTCACTAGGATTCTAGTAAGCGTGATCGATTTGCATTATATGTATTTGATGTCGGTGACAAATTTCGTTTGTACGTTTTTCTATGTAGCTATACCATTCTTTGAGATCAACTTTTGCTGAGAAAATTCTTTCAGCCTACTGAAGACGTTAAAACGGCAAGGGAGATCGTTACAGATAAGGTGAGCTCAAAGCTCTTTTTACCATCAACCGCCGCTTTGTGGAAGCGCTACGGATGGTTTACAGAAAACTTCAAAAGTACTTCGTTCGATTTCCAGGTAGTTCGTCCCCCAGACGCAACACCCAAGCCACCAAGTTCATTCCCAGTGAGTGTTCGTCCCATCGCGATATCTGTCGTTGAGTGAAACACTCTGAAGAAAACTTTTCAGCCCACTGACGCCGCCGTAACGGCAAAGGAAGTCGTTGTTACTAAGGTAATGTGCAGGGGCATCGTTCAAAAGCACAGGCTGACAGAATTTGAAAAACTTTTGGGTACCTTTTATTAATGAAAAACTACGTGCGGAAATCCTTGAACTATCAAACCAGCTCCTAACGAGGCTGTCAGCCACATAATTTAGGTTACTACAGAAAGCTAGTACTGGTAACTATTGTTTGATTGACACCCTTTTTCGTTCCCCTAGGCCCTCTTATTCAGAACCTACAGGTTTTAATAAACGGAAGGCATTACGGATTTACTGCTCCTCTTAGGTAATGACTAATTCAGTTAAATCTTATCAATGGTGTACTTGTGCTACAGCGGTGTAGTCGGATCCCCAATCCCTTGGCCAATCAAACCTTCCATCCTTCCACTGGTACCCGACTCGTCTGGGAGGATATTGGCTCTAAGTTGCTTCACGGCGAGCAACTCCACGTCAACGTAGAGGCCACATATGCAACCGAAATGAACTGCGGTGGGATTCAGAAAAGGCATCAGTGGATACTGTCTCTTTGTAAGGAAGGTGGGTGTGAAAATGTTTTTTATAGGACAAGACAATGGGTCTTTCTTGGGAAGCGGTATGTTCCACTTGACAGTCAGAGCATTTGCGTCAGAAGCTTCCGCTAACGAGACTTCACCCTGATTGCTCCTTTTTGTTTACACACATGGTCCCACACCATTTTAACCCAACCTCTTCGTTTTGTGAGGGGCTAACCTCGAAGTTTCCATATGTTCAATTAACATCTGTCCAGCCTGTGCTGTAGATCATTTTAAGGAAAATCTTGCCCAAATTCTGTAGCTTGACTGAATGATTTTTCAGCTGCCTCAAGAGCCTCCAAAGGTCCAACAGCCTCAAGAACCTCCAAAGCTTCAGCAGCCTCCACAGCCTGAAAAGGTTCAGCAGCCTCAAGAGCCTCCGAAGATTCAACAACCTCAAGAGCCTCCAAAGGTTCAGCAACCTCAGGCGCCTCCGAAGGATGAGCAGC